TTGGTTTCCTACTGACCATGCCACGGACTTTTTCTCCTCTGCCATGCCTCTCTGCTACGGTGCCCTGCCTTGGAGCCAGCTGACTATGGGCTGAAACCGCTATAAACTGTGAACTAAAATAAACCTTTTCTCCACACTTGTGAGTGTTGGGTATTTTGTCCCACCAATGAGAAAGTAAGACAGTTAACAATAGGGAAAGCTAGGTGAGGAAGTATATGGGGACTGTCTACTAACATGGTCACAATTTTCAATAAAGCTAAAACATATTTTAAAACTCATTTTTCTTCAAATTAATCTATGTAGCAACAATTCCACTTCTACATATATCCCAATAAAAATGAAAACACACCTATGAAAAACCTGTATACAAATGTATGTAGAAACACAAATATTGCACCAATGAACGAATAAATAAAATGGGTGTGTACTCTTACAACCATGTTACCCACCTATAACCAATAAATGCTAAGTAAAAGAAGTCAGTCACAAAGGTCTACAAATTATATGACTCCATTTACATGAAATGTCCAGAAGAGACAAATTCACAGAGAAAGTAGATTAGTAGTTTCCCAAGTCTAGGAAAGGAGGAGATGAGAAATAATAGCTAAGAGATTTAAAGGTGAGGTAATATGAATGCTGTACAATTGATTGTGGTGAAGGATATACAATTTTATGTACTGCATATCCTAAAAACCACATTTTATATGAGTGAATTACATCTCAATAAAACTGCTAGTGTGTGGCCAGGAATGTAGCCCAGTGGTAGAGCACTTGTTTGGCATGAATGGTGCCTCGATTCCTTTGTCCATTCTGCAATATAGTAATAATAGTAATAATAATAATAATAACAGTAATAAATGTGAACATGCTTTGAAAAACTGCTACACAAATGTAAAGCAGTAATACTTAAATGTGGTTGAGTAGAAAGTCAAAAGAGACTGAGATATCATACTCAATGTTATATAAGATCATCTTCAAGTACAGATGCAAAGAACAGCCATATAAATGCAGCACCTCACATTCTAAAAAATTCTAACTTGCTCAGCCTTTAAAAAGAAGGATACATGGCATCACATGAATTAGCCTTGAGGAAATGATGCTACATGAAATAAGCCAGTCACAAAAGGATGAAAACTGTATGATTCCACTCATATAAGGAACCTAGAGTAGGACCCTCAAGTTCATAGAGACAGAAAGTAGAATGGAGGGTGCTGGCAGCTGAGGGGAGGGTGAAATGGGTGCAGAGTTTCAGTTCCACAAGATGAAAAAGTTCTGGTGATTGGTTGCACAACAGTGTGAATTTACCTGACACTATTGAACTGTACATTTAAAAACTGTTAAGATAGCAAATTTTATGCTATATATATTTTACCACATTAAAAAATTTAAAAATACGTATCAGTTAATAAATGAACAACGGACTCATTCTACGAAAGGCTGATTCTGAGTTTGGACAAAGTTTCTTCCCCACCAGCAGGCAACTGGGTGGGCCCTTTCTCATGACCAAGAGAAACACATATATTTAACATTCTTTGAATCTCAGCTCCAGTGGGCCCTCTTGATTTCTCATCCCCACCCTTTTGCTCTCCTGGGGACTGGCTCTCAGAAGATAACCGCAGTCCACCCACATTCCCCCAGGTAAGAGTCTTTCCCTTGGGACCATCCTAAACAAATTCTTCTGCTGCCTTATCTCATATGTGCAGGTATGTATGAGAGGAAGTAGAGGCACTGGGCAAGCACATAACAAATGCAAAACCCTGCTTTCATCTTAATATCTGGGCCTGGGAGGTTAAACACTTCTCTTGTTTGTTGCGAAATGTTACATCTTTTATAATGGACATCTAAGTGTATGAATAAAAACCATATCCAATTTGCACAGAGAAGTAGGAGAAAAGCAATGCTTATAGGCAGTATTAATTAATCTATGCTTTGTTTAGTCATAGGGTATGCTCTATGCACCAGAATTATCATGCTCACCTTCATATTTCTGGAACATTGTAGAGTTTGGTAAATGTTAGATGTTGACAACAAAAATGCTGACGTGTACTGGTGACAAACACAAGATAATGAATGGGTAGCAGGCTCTTCCCAAGAGGTTAATGCTAGGGCAAGGATGATTCACTGAAGAGATAGTGAAGAGTACCTACTATGCTCCAGGCATCATTCCAGTTTCTGTCCTCATGTGGCTTTCGGTGGTCAGGCAGACAATAAATAAAATAAGTAAAAGAGCTAGGAAAAGAGAGAGGAGGGAGGAGGGTCAGTGAGTAGGGAGTAGGGAGTGGGGACTAAGAACCAAAGAAATGTTAGGTGCATACCAGGGACTGTCTCACTGGGGAAGCAACTTTTTAGCAGGGTTGAAGAAGCTAAGTAGCTTGGCCACAAAAGCACCTAGGAGCCCAGTGTCTCTGAGAGAATAGTGTTCCCAGCACAGGGAGGAAGCTTCCAAGGCCCACATGGACGAGGGAGGGCTGGAGTGGAAGTGGAGGGAGAGCTGGGAGACAAAGTCAGAGAGGAAAGGACAGGAGGTACTAGTTATGGGGACAGTGCCCTTGAGGCCAAGGAATGATTTTGGCTCTTGCTCTGAGTGACATGGGTGGCTAATTGAAGGTTTTCAATGAAAGACACGAACTTCTTTAAGTTTTAAAGGGAATGCTGCAGTTGTTTTCTTAAAAGTGTACAGTTCTTGATTTTAAAATGGTTTGATTTTATGGTGGTGCAAGAAAAATAGGCATTGAATAGAAACCATACATGGAAGTTTAAATTTGGATTTTTCATGGCTGGCATTATGCAGTCCAACATGCTCTGTAGATGCCAAGCAGTACAGGGACAGTAACAGCAGCTTTCCACTAGCCCCGGGATCACGAAGGATGCAACCAACACTCTACAGTGTGCTGTGCTGCAATGCTAGGATGCTCATTAGGTTGGTTGTACAGAGCCCAATTCCACTTCTGATATCTCTGCCTTATGATGGTTTGTCAGGACATGACCCCACAGTAATTCAAGGAACATCTATAATGAAGATAGGAAAAGATGAAAGTAAGGAGCTCAATTAGGAATCCACAGCCTGCTGCAAGATTTGATGGTACATTAGACCCGGATGAAAACAAGAGATGATGAGAAATGGTCAGCTGAGGTTTGAACATACAACATTTTCAAAGTATGCCCCAAAATAATCGCTGGCAGGTTCCATGTGAGGCATGAAAAGAAAAAGAACTGAGGGTGAAGCCAAGTTTCTTTTGGAAAGCAAGGAAGGATGGAGATGCCATTAGCTTCACTTGGAAAGACTACAGAAGAGAACATGGGGAACCTTTTAGGTGTGAGGTGTCTGACAGTTAGGGCTACCAAACAACAGATTAGAAATCTTTGGTTCAGAGCTAATGCCTACACCGGAATATTAATGTGGGAGTTACATACCATGTAAAACATGGCATTTAGAAGTGTGAGAGAGGTGAGACTGCTAAGGAAGTAAATAATGACAGTTATAAAATTAAACCTTTAATTTGGGCATGATAGCACCCACCTGTAATCCCAGCACTCTGGGAAGCTGAGGCAGGAGGACTGCAAATTCAAGTTCAGTCTCAGTAACTTAGTGATTTACTAAGACCCTGTCTCAAAATCAAAAGGGCTAGGGAAGTAGCTCAATACAAAGGCCTTGGGTTCAATTCCTAGAATGAAAGAGGGAGGGGAGTGGAATATGAATTGAGTCTTTAAACAGTCCCACTCTTATGGTAAAAAGTACTCAGAAGAGAGGTTCAAGGAAATGGAGGAGACCTGAAGGAGAGGAGTAAGAGAGTGCCCATCTGGGTCAAAAATGGCTGATAAAGTAAGATCTGGACCAAGAATGGGCCAATGGATTTAGCCGATGAATGGGAGCAGGGACCGTGCCATGATAAGAGCAGTTTTGGTGGCCCTTAACTAAAAGATTGAACTGGGCACAGCAGCACACGCCCATAGTACCAGATATCCAGGAAGCTGAGGTGGGAGGATCAGGGAACTGCTTGAACCCAAGAATTCAAGGACAGCTGGGGCAATGTAGTGAAACCCCATCTCAAGAAAAAAAATATATACTTTATTGCTAAAAAGTATTAACAATCATATGAACTGTTGGAAAAAAATGGCCACTAGACTTGCTCCACAAAATTGCTTCAATTTCTAAAAAATTCAATCTCCATAAAGCACAGTAACATGAGGCATGTCTACACAATGCTCATAACACTTGCTCTGCTATAAGTCCTTTGTCTCTGACCCAGAAGTCTCATGCCCTCTGCAAGCAACCATGAAGCAGCAGCAGCTAAGATATTAGCATGCAAGCATACAGCACACACCAGAGTAGAAGAGAGGATGCAAGCTTGTACTGTTTAGGGAATAATGACAGTCCAGTAACTGTAAAGTTGCTCTTTGCAAAAGCAGTCATGCCAGGAAAGGGGGGGGGGGTTCCAAGAAGTATCATCCCACCTCATCTTCTGTTGAGCTAATCTGCACTTGCACTGTGGGTACAAGAACTATGTCTTATCAAAGACCACAGCTTCTGTTAGGCTTGGCCCAAGCTGCTAAAAGGAAGAGCCAAGTGAGCCTCCTGTGGAAGGGCTTGGAAAGTCCCCAATGCCACAGAACTGTTGGCCATCCTTCAAAGCTCGCACATAATGCTAACTTGATCTAAGTGTCCAATATATTTAAGGGGTCACAGAGAGGATGACCATCTTGCTTCACGGTATCTCAATTGAAGCCATCTGCTGTGAACACAATTAAAATCACTTCTTCTCAAACTCTGCATGAGAGTATGGTTGTTTGGCTTTTATTCCATATTCTGCAATACTGAAATCTTCTAGTATTAATGCAAAAATGTATATACGTAAGATTTTTTAAACTCTCAGGGTTCCAGACCCAGACTGATCAGTAAACTCTAACCATGTATAGCTTTTGAAATTTAAATTAATTAAAATGAAATGTAGGTTAAAATCCAGTTACTTAGTAGTACCAGATACAGTTCAAGTACTCACTGTCTACATGAAACAGCACCTACCACCTTGGACAGTAAGGATATGGAGACATCCTTCCACACCCACACCTGGAAAATATTCAAAAAAAAACTGTGTCTATTTCAAATACACACAGACTTCTTGTCATTATTCCCAAAACAATACAACTGTGTGTGTATGTGTGTGGTGCTGGGGATTGAGCCCTAGACAAGCACTCTGAACTATCCCCCTAGCCCTAAAAACTACATAAATGGCATTTACACTGCATTGGATATTATTAGTAACCTACGGGTGATGCATATGGGAGGATGTGTGTGGTTTCTACAAGAATACACCACTTCATATAAGGGACTTGAACATCCATAGATTTGGGCTCCACAGGGGTATCCCAACCAATCCCTCATAAAACTCCAGCATTGTGCTTGTCTCCAACTTGTCAGCCATTGCCTTTAAACATTTTCCTTCACTGCTGATGTTCTTGTAACAGTATGACTTATTTAATCATAAAAGTCTTTAGTGTGGCCTAACTATAAACTTAAAAATATTCTTACTGTGTGGGTAGTAGATTTACTCTGTAATTCATTGAGCTGTGTACTTAAGAGTTTCTGTACTTTGATGTGTGTATAACATAATACATAAAAATGTTTTTCAAAAAGAAAATTCTTGCCAGGCACAGGGATGCTCATTTTAGTCCCAGCTATTCAGGAAGCTAAGGTGCGAGGATCACTTGAGCCCAAAAGTTCAAGTCCAGCCTGGGAGAAAGAAAAAAGGAGTAAGGGAGGAAAGGAGTAGGGAAGAAAGGAGTTGTATATGCCTGTAATCCCATGTACTCCAGAGGTTGAGATAGAAGGATCTTGAGTTCAAGCTCAGCCTGGCAATTTAGCAATTTAGTTACTCAGAGCCAAAACAAGTTCAATAAGTGTTGACCTTATCTTTGACAAAGGGGCCAAACACCTTCACTGGAGGAAAAGATAGCCTCTGTAACAAATGGTGCTGGGAAAACTGGCTGTGCACATGCTGAAGATTAAAACTAGACCCATGTCTCTCATCATGCATTAAACTAAAATTTAAATGGATCAAAGATTTTGATACTAAAAAAGAAACAGTAAATCTGCTGGAAGAGAGATGAGATAGAACTCATAAAGATATTGATGTAAACAAAGACTTTATGAACCCTGATCAAATAGGAAATATCACAAAGTATCAACAACTGGGATCTCATCTTATTAAAAAGCTTTTTCTCAGCAAAAGAAATCACTAACAGAGGGAAGAAACAACCCACAGAACCAACAGGGGGAAAAAAAAAACTTTTACCAGCTAATCCTCAAAGGACTAGTATCTAGAATATATATGGAACTATAAAAGAAAGATGCCCCAAATTTAAAGACCCAATCCAAAAATGGGCATCTAAATGAATAGACACTTCTTAGATGAAGAAGCAGAAATAGCAAATAATATATGAAAAAATGTTCAACATCATTGGTTATTCTAGAGATGCAAATTAAAACAATACTGAGATTCTATCTCACTCCAGAAAGAATGGCTGGGGGCAGGGAGAAAGGAACCCTTCTCCACTGCTGATGGGCGTGTAGACTAATGCAACCACTGTGGAAATCAATATGGAGATTCCTCAAACAGCTAAAACCAGAAGTTCCATTTGACACAAGCATTCTTCTTTTTGTATCTTCCCCAGATAATTAAAAGCATCATACTACAGTGATATATGCACACTCAAGTTTATAGCAGTATAGTTTGTAATAGCTAAAGCCTGGAAACAGCCCAAATGCCCAACAATGGATGAATGGATAAAGATGTGGGTTTTTTATACAATGCAGTACTACTCTACCATAAAGAAGAATAAACGAGACATTTCTAGGTAAAATGGATGCATCCTGAGACCATATTCTTACATGAAATAAATCGAATACATATGCTTAAATATCATATTGTTTCTCTAGTGTGAGAAACCAAAAGGGTAAATAAGAACCAAAATGTATAACAGATATTGTGAAATAGGAAGAAAATATTCAAATGGGAAGGGAAAGTAGGGAGGGGAAGGGGGAGAGGTAAAGGAAGGGAAAAGAAAGAATTGAAAGAAAAAATGGAAACAAAGCTTTCATAAATAAGGAGGGGAAGAGAGGCTGAAGGAAGGGGGAGAAGAATGGAAAAAGAATTAAGATATATCCTATACATCATTACCTATGATGAATGTTATCATTATGTGTATCTAAAATTTACCAATATAATTAATTCTAAAAAACTGAATTAGGACTGGTGATTTGGCTCAGTCTGATAGCCCTGGATTCAATCCCCAATACTAGAAATAATAATAATAATAATACTAGAAAGGGCTAGAGTTGTGGTTCAGTGGTATATCACCCCCAGATTTGATTCCCCAGCATGACAAGAAAAAAAATAAAATTTTCAACATTCTTTTTTCCACTTTGGTTGAAGAAAATATCACAAACCCATCTCTTCACTACATGCTGATCAAGCATCCAAACCCACAGCAGACCTCTCTACATACTGTACTGGGTCCCCTTACATCCTGGGTCTGCCATGCAGTGAAAATGAGAGAGATCAGAGAGGAAAGGGATGCAGATGCCAGGCAAGGGGAGCAGGAAGTGCTGACAGGCCATACAACGGTAGAAGGTAGAGGCCTTCACTAGTCTGTGAAAGGAGAAGGTCAAAGACTCCCCACCTGAGAACAGGTTCATCTCACAAGTCCTCCAACAGTCTGACTTGCCACAACTTGATGTGAATTTTGGCTTTTTGTTGTTTGTTTTTCTTTCGGTGGTGTTCTGAGTAATGCATACTAGCATACTGGGACTTCATGCATACTAGCCAACACTGTCCCACACAGCCACTTCCCCAAACCCATAAGTGCTTTTTGGAGGAGTCTGCCTTTCAGGAGGAGCCACAAAAAAGGGACTGAAGGAAGCTTTTCTGATGATCTGCTTTCTTGATTAACAAAGGTTCTATAGCAGCCATGTGCTGCCAAGTGTAAAATACACACTGCATTTCGAAGACAACGCAAAAAATGCTTTTTCATCAATAAAAGTTTATATTGTTTATTAAACTAGTACTCTGAAAATATTATGTTAAATAAAATACACTATGAAAATTCATTTCACCTATCTCTTTTTACTCTTTAATGAAACTACTGAAACATTTAATTACATACATGGCTTGCATTTGTGATATTTTTCTAATGGGCAAGGTGACTTAAGCAATTATCTAGTGCTGTAATTATATCTTTTAGCTTAGTGTATGGTTGATTTGGTATAGGGAATCAAGTTCTATCCCCTGCTATACTACTACTATGATCCTACAGAAGTCAGTCACATGCCCAAGAGGGTCCTATTCTCCATCTACAAATGTGGCAGGTTTGATGAGGTTTAGGGGACAGAGAGATTTACACTAAAGCAGTAGTTTCCAACCTTTCCATTAAAAACATTTTTACAATGCCCAAGTCACCATGTTCCTCATATTTAAACACTGGTTGCCAAATATATTAACTGATTTTAGTCACTGTGTTTATGGTAATTAAAAATTAACACGATGAGTATACAAAAGGAAGTAATATAAGTATCTGGAATGCAGTCAAACAAACTTTTATCAAAACTGTCAGTGTTTATAACATCTCACCTAGGAATTTTACTTCTAGAATTTATCTTAGGTAAATATATAATTTATATACAAATATAATTTATACTATCAAGAAATTAAAAACCTACCATAAAATAATCAGAATCAGTTACATTAAATTATATACCATGCACCACATAGGGATGTTTCTGTCAACAACAGATCATACGCACAACAGAGGTCCCATAAGATTACAATGGAGCTGAAAAATTCCTATCACTCAAAGTCACTCTTGTGAGGTCATAGCATAATCCATGACAGCATAACCTACTGCACTGCCAATTATAGAAAAGCACAGCACAGTTATGTGCAGACCATACTTGGTAATAATAATGATCATTACTAGCTCATGTACTTACTCTGCCTTTCACTGTTACCTTAAACTGTATTCATTCTACATTATGCTACATTATTCTACATCATACTGACACCAGCCGCATGTATCTTGTGTTTATCCCTTCTCTGGATTATATCATATTCCCTTTTACTTGACTGTATCTCATATTCTTTTATTCATCTCATTCCAGGGTAGTACACTATAATACATACATACACTATACAGCTCCAAGTGCTTTGGATTGCTTTATATTTTGGTAATACTTACATAGACATAAGATATTTTGGGGATAGGGGCCAAACTGAACATAAAATTAATTTCCTCTTCAAATACACCTTTTACATACAGCTTGAAGAAAATTTTATATAAAATTACCTAGTGTGAATGTAACTATCACTTGAGGTCTACTGTGGAAGTTTTTCCGCTTATAACAACAAATCAGTGATTAGAAATAGAGTACTTCAGACTGCAGATTTTCAAGGATGCTCAACCAGTGTAGCAAAATTTTTTTTACAACTTGTGAATAGAATGGTAGGTATGTGGGTAATCCTCCACAGTTTCAATGTTTTTGTTTGCTTAAAGATTTTTATAATAAAAAGTTGAAGGAAATTAGTTCTGTTGCATATAATAGGCATTATGGCCAAGCAGGTTTTCTTTTATTATAGTATTGCCTTTTGTAGAACCAACAGCAGAAAGCCAACTTCTGAAAAAGCATGCAGTCCTTTTCCTTCCACCTCCCCTGTTACACCCATACATCCTCCATCACTAACAACTGGACATGAAGTGGACACCTGACCCAAGGTAGCCAATCAAGTGGCTTGCCAGCACCCATGACATAAGAGGCCTGGCCAATCAGACTTCCTTTCCTGAAATCCAACCTAAAATACAGAAACTACAGTTAAGTCAGTGAAAGACTGTAGTTGAAAGTTTATAATGTTAGGGTTGTCAGCCATGTGAAAGATAATGAAGCAGAGAGACAGGAAACATAAAGGGGACTCTACAGAGAGGACTAATCCCCAGAGAGGTACAAAGATCAAAGGGCACTGCTGAGAGTTTTAGGAAAAATCATTTCATAATTAAACTGTGGTTAGGGCCTGTGTAAAGCCTAATGTCTTCTTGCCTTCAAGTCCACTATTGTCCGTGGAAACATAACTCCATGTGCCTCCAGTTACCGTTGAGGCCTCTCAATGGTCCAGTGATTCTGTGATGCTCCAGGGCAAAATTACATCAGCCGAAGACATCCTGGTTCCTTGAGAATTGAGTAGTAACAAAAAAAACACAGGTTTTGGGGGAAAGGACAAACTTATTAGCCTGTTATCTCTTCCCACCTACTATTGTAAGAATGCTATGCCCATCTCACCATCCTCATCAACCTAAGGTCCTCATCAACCTAAGATAACTACTGCCCTCTGAGTCATCCAATACTCCCTACGATTATTATGAGCACCCAATAAATAGCCATTTCATAGTGTCTTTGCCCTGTCTGCATTGACCTCCTAGCCCCCAAGTACTTCAAAAGTGTGCTTGTCTTTCTTTATCCCTCACCCCAATCCACTCTAAGTAGATTGGAGGATTGATCAACCGACCAACAAGGCATCACCCCAGAATAGGAATGTTTCCTGCCTTTGTTTCCTTTAGCTTGTCCCCAGTACTACCTTAGGTTGTACCCAAATATAATTAACTTCATATCCTTAGAACTTGCGACATCTTACTAACCTTTCTGATACCTGGGAACCATCACTGAGGGCCAGTGATAAAGATAATTTAGTTTCTTCCACTTAGTTATACCTTAAAGCTTCAAAATTCATATTAGCTCTGTACTGAAAACATGTACAATACAAATAAAAATTTGAAAAGTTTATAAATCTCAATTATTACAAAAGGATAATATGCAGATGATATTCACCTTGTTACCCAGCTGAAGCAAAAGTGAATAAATTTAATAAAATTAGTTTAATTCTAGTTTTGACATTAACGCCAGTTAGCTTTGAATAAATCCACTCTAAACACTTTTTAAAGTATTGTTATGGCTTGAATTTAGATGTCCCCCCCAAAGTCTCATGGGGTCATAGATGAGATTTTTTGGAGGTGGCTAGATCTAGGATTTGTGCTGCTGGGATCAAGGACATAATGCTATGATTAATTCATGGTGCAATGCTAGGATTAAGGGTGTGAGTGCTACCCACCCTAAGAGTGGGTAGCCTGGGAAAAACATAAGGGACAGAAACAGATGTGGTCATGGTCTAGGCTTGTCACTCTCTTTTGGCTGACTTCTGTCTGCCATGAATTGTTTCTTCTCTGTGATGTCCCCTGCCATGCCACCCTGCCATGGAGCCAGCCAACTATGGACTGAAATCTCTATAGACCATGAGCCAAAACAAACTTTTCATTCTTTAACTTCGGGTGTCTGATATTTTGTCTCAGCAACAAGAAATGTATGACAAGCATATTCTATTCTACAGTTACTTATCAGGCAAAAGATAATGTAAAATGATTCCTACATTTGTCATCTAAATCAGCTATTGACAAATTCACCAATGTAAGCTATTAAATATTTCCTAGGAAGGGGACATTAAGTGTTTAAGCTGTCTCAGAAGCAACCAGAGCATCCTAGGGTTCCCCTACCCTGTGTGTTTGTGTGTGTGTGTGTGTGTGTGTGTATCTTATAATATTTTGAAGAAAATTCATATCTCATAGAGTTTCTTATGAAAAATAGTACATAGTCATCAGGTGTGTTGTGCACACCTGTAATGCCAGCACTCTGGGAGGCTGAGGCAGGAGGATTGCAAATTTGAGCCCAGCCTGGGCAACTTAGCAAGATCCTGTCACCAAATACAAAAGTTCTGGGGATATAACTCAGTATGATGGTCCCAGGTTCATTCCCTAGTACCAAAAACTTATATATGTAGTCACCCCGAAGTAAAATTTTGGAACAAAAAAATGAAGATAACTCTAGTGTATAGGATGCCTTGCTTGATAGGGGAAAATAAAATTCCCCAAGCTTCACACTTTACTTCAAATACATACACACACAAACACACACACACACACACACACATAAAATCTATACACACACTATAAAACCTTGGATTGTAACTTGTTCTGCTAGTGTTCTGTAAAAAGAGCACACATTTTTAATAAAATTTAACTTGACAAATGAGTGATACCTTGCAACAACCAGCAGTATGTGATGCCAAACATCACATGATCACAACTAAGCCAATAGTTCTTCCCCACTCCTCCCTCCTTCCCTCACCACTCCTTTCTCCTTTCCACCCCAGGCCCTTGCTGCAGGGTTGTGGGTGACTGTCTCCCAACATTAAGAGGTTATGGAGATCTCATCTGCAGAGGAAGAGGAGAAAGAGGAGAAGAGGTAGAGGAATCCCTCACTTCAAATGAGATTAGGGAGATGTGTAAAATGTGGGAAACGGTGCAAAATTTTGTAGAAAAGCACCACTCAAATAAGGCTGCAGCAGCGCAAGTGATGAATCTAATGACAATGCAGTATCACATTTCTGTAAAATTGTCAAAAGTAAAAGAAGTATCATTTGATAGTTTTTTTTGTTAAAATTTTCATGAAAAGGAAAAGATTCCATTGAGCAAATATGTAGCAGTGATTCCATTAGTGAAAGTCATCCTACACAATAACCCTCCTCTCGTCTCATACCAGTCACAAAGATTTTCAAACCTAAGTGAAAGGTAAGTTATTTTTCCTTATATTATGTATTTTATTTTATTATTTTGAATTATATTACAGAATTATAATCATTTTTATGTGAATATTTTTTGGGTTGCAGAACAAATCATCTGAGTTTCCATTATTTTTTAATGGGGAAATTCACTTTGTTATACCAGTGCTTTGGATTACAAGCATGTTTCCAGAATGAATTATGCTTACAAACCAAGATTTTATTGTACATATATTCTCTGATCTCTGTTACAAACAATCATCTGACTACTAAGATCAGATGTGGTGGAAAGTCAGTCCGAATCAACAGTTTCTACCCTAAGAGGAAGGTTCTAGAAGCAGAATTTCTCCTGCAGAAGATTCCTGGGCTGAGTCCTGAAGAAATGTGTCCCTAAAAAAGGGAACACTAGAAAGGGCAATGTCAGGCACATGCACATTGTGGGTCCTCTCCCAAAGAGGATTTTATTTTAAAGAATTTCAAAGCCTAAAATTTGGCCCAATAAATGAATACAGACCTCATATTTTAGTGATTCACAAATACAGTGAACTGTATCATGATCCTCCTGCCTTATCCTCCCAGAGTACTGGGATTATAGACATGCACCACCATAGCTGGCTATGTAGATTTTTTTATAAGAAACTTTATGAGACATGAATTTTCTTCAAGGTAAGGCAAATTTGCCTCCAAGCCATATTTCTACTGCCTTTATTAATGCTTGTCATTTTCCCTCTATTCTGTTCCTGCAGCAGTAGACCCAGGGGCCTGATATAGGAGATAGGGGGTGGCAAAACTGACTGGGGAAATGATCAGGACCTGTCAGTTGCAAGATCCCAAGACAACGGGAGGACCCAGTATGTAGGAGCTCCCACAGAAGTGGACAGCATAAAAAAACAGCAGCCATCACAGAAAGCCGCCATTGTGTATGAGTTTGCATGACAGCCCTTTCCACGGCTGAATGTGGTATGTACTTTTATTTTTGTTTTTACTTTCCTTATCTCTTTGTTCGGCCCATTTGTTTGGCAAAGCTGGTTTCTCCTATACCCATTTACCCTTCACTTTTCTTTTTTCCAGTAACAGGGATCAAACTCAGGACCTTGTACTTGCCAGGCAGGCACGGTGCCACTGAGCTAAATCCCAGCCCCCTATACTTTTCCAATAAACTTTTTGGCACCATTATTGGCTTGTCTTGTCCAATTCTTGGTTCGAGGTAGGAAGAATCTAGAATACTTCTGATTAGTTGGCCTTTTCTAAAGAAACCACCCTGTAATAGGCTTTTTCCTGAAAATTCATTCTTTCTGTCAAGCAAGTCAAGTGGTTCAATGGAGATGCTAGTAGAATTAAGTGGCCCTATGGGGGTGGGGGCACAATGGAAAAGAATTAAAGAATCAAGTGGTGACTGTTTTAAAGAGTCTGGATATGAGGAAAGGAAAAAAATGGAAACAAAGTTTTTGTAAATAGGGAAGGGTGGAGGGGGGTGAAGGGAGTGCAGAGGTATTGGGAAAAAATAAGATACAAGATACATCCTGTAAAGGTACAACATTCCAATGATGAATGTAACTGTACTGTATATCCAAAAATTCAATAAATTCAATGAAAAAATTAAAATAAAAATTTAAAAAATAAAAATAAAGTCTGGAAATTGATATGATAGAAATCCATGGCCAATAAATTTAAATCTGTATTTTTTGGTGCATTGAAATCACTAATAAAACTCAACCAGGGTTTGGGCCGGGGATTTAGCTCAGCGGTTCTGTGGCCTGCCTTGCAAGCCCAAGGACCCCAGTTCAATCCCCAGTACCAAAAAACAAACAAACAAACAAAAACTTCAACCAAGGTTTAAGGATTTAATTTACATTCTGCACACCATTTGTTAAATACAGTAGGTGTTCCCTGGGGCCAGGAAAGAGAGCTAATAAGAGAAAGGAGGGAGGTAGGGAAGGGAAGGAAAGGGCAGAAGTCAAGGTCAAGAAACAGGAAAGCCTGGGAAGGGGAGGAGAGGGAAAGGGAAGGGAGGGGATTTGGGAAGGACAATCAGAAGAAACCAGCAGGCCCAGAAGCAGAGCTGGATGTTGAGGAGGAGTGGAGAGTGAAGGAAAGACAAGAATTTCAAATAAAGGAAGGAAACAAGCTGAGGCTTGGATAACTCTTGCTATCCTAAAAATCTGCTAACCCTTTTTAATTCTTCGTCAAACTCCCACAAGGGATCAGAAATAAACTGACTGCCCATTGCAGCTCCTCAAGAGACTATGAGCCACTCACAAGCCAGATGTCTAATCCACAAATGAAGTTAATGTCCATTAGATCCTGGCAGAACTGGACTCCAAGGTGTGAGGGAAGATATGCAAAACTCTTAACTCTGGACCTTCTCTAAGTAAAATGCAAGGCAGACAGAATCATGCCTAGGGTGCAAAGTACACTTTTATATCCCATCACTGTTCAACCACAGGCACCCACAGGCCTGGAAAGAACAAAGGCCCAGGGCATTTCCGCTGCTCAGTCAGCAAAACAAAGCTGGTACCTAGCGTCCTAGCACTCTCCTCCCATGGGCTCCGCAGGAAAACCCTGAAACTGGACCTGGTCTCTAGACGGGAATGTGAACTGACCTGATTGTAAGGAGAGCCTCAAAGGCACACAGGATCACCAGCTATCTGCCAAAAGGTGCTGTTAACCATCAACGGCAAGTATAACATGTTACTAGAATTGCTAGGATAGCTAGCTGATGAAAACGTATACAGAGGCGTCCCAGTTTTTTAAAAATTAGAAAAGTAGGAAAAATAAAAATAAAACAATAAAAGGGCGTGGGCACACTCTAGAAATCGGTTCAGGTGGACCCGCTGCCAGGGACCCTCTCTGCTGGGCCACCCGGACACCATCCCTCACTAGGACCCTGGCTTCATCCCAGTTTCCACATTCAAACTGCGGGAATGAGGACCCTCGCAGGACCTCTGCAGGTCCATCGCGGTCAGTGATCAGCGGGGCACTTGGCCCGCATCACTCAGACCTGCACCCGGGCCGGAGCCGCACCTGCCGACCTGTTTGGAGGCGGGGAACCCGTGCTATGCGACCCGAGACGACCGCGGCTGCGTGGGCACAGCGCGCGTCGG